AACTCAGAGGTAGCTTACAAATCTAACTCTGTTGTTATTAACTATTGTGCATCTCTTGGGTTGGTTAAATAAGCCACGTTCATATTGATTAAACAATTTCTGAACTATCAAAATGTTTCTAAATGATACTCCCAAGGGGATCTTACAAAACTAACTCTTAAGTAGTCATGAAAATTTTTGATATTATTCACAAGGGTAGCTTGCAAACCTCACTTTACTGAAGTTTGAAATTTTAATAAGTTTTAAACTAGGGGGAACTTACAAACCTAACTCCGAAGATGAAGATAAGATGGTTTGGTTGTGGATGAAGCTTCAAAGGCAAGAATTTACTTAGACAGAGATATTCAACCTAGACATCTTCAACAACAGCATATCCCCAATAGCTATTTTGGCAACAAGGCAGCGGGAAGTAGATAAACTAATAAAGTATTGGACTCCATCTATGATTTTGTTCGATATGACTGAGTCGAACAAGATTTAGGAACCATATCATTGATTCCTCAAGTTCATAGGAATCCTACCAAATAAGAGGATGAAAAATAATGATGTGCTCCTAGTATCATATTTGTCTCCCTAAAATAGGAGCAAACAGTTAAGCTAAAGACCTGAAACAAGCGACGCGTGAGAGGTAACCCGCGATTTGGTAACTTATTTAATTTTCAATCGAGTTAATTTAATTTCTGTTGATTTTAAATATTAGCATGTTTTGAGTTTTAGTTTTTTGGTATTTTTAATGTGTGTGCTGAATGTGTAGATAATCTAAAGGAAAGTGGAAGCAGCAACCAACTTCGTGACTTCTTCTGCCTAGACAATAGTTTCTAATTCAGCAGTTTTAGTTGAATTTATTTTTGTTATGTGTTCCATATGTAACAATCTGATGAAGAGGGGAATATCCACGTCCAAGTTTTGTTCTATTCAGTTCCCTTTAATGAATGAATTATGTTTGCACTTGTTTCTTTTTTAGTTTAATTACTTCTTTACTCATGAATAGAAAAGTAATCACAAGAAAGTGATCGAGGAAGAAGTAATTTTGTTGAGTGATGATGGAGAAAGAAAAGGATACCATTGTTGGTACTCAACCTTTAGAAATCAAAGAAAGTGAGGTTTGGGTCCAAATATTTCCATTGTTTACTTATTTCTTTTTTTTAGTGTATCCATGCAATGGTAATATCTAGAATTTGAATTTTATATGTCTTAATTTGTTGATATGATAAACACACATAAAGGTAGTTGTTTGGGAAATCTTTATGGCCTTGTATACCACCCTTTCATTACAATTGACATCCTTTGTTAACCAATTTGAGCTTTAGCCTATCCTTCAGTGACTTAGCCTATTATAAGCCTTTGACCTAAAAGATACAAATCTTGCCACCCTCTTTGAAGTTAGTAAGGTAGGTTTTACTTTAAGTATAAGCTAATCACTAAGTTTGGGGTTGCTCTTGGAAGTTAGAATTATTTAAGTTTAGGGTTGGGGGTACATATATGTGTCGCAGCGGGAAATTTTTTAGAATAAGCTATTGATAACTTATCTCAACAAATAAGCAAGAGTCACCACCGAACTTTATTACTTCTAAAAGGAAATTGGAAAAATTTAACAAAACCCAAAATAAAAGAGAGAGATCAACATACAGGGTTGGTTATGAAAAATGGAGGTATTAGCACCCTAAACATCTACGGTACTCTGCAAGAACCACTTTAAAAATCTAAGTTATAGGCTAAAAATGGTTGTTTGCAATATGACTTGAGAGATGGAAAAATAAATTGTTTTTTATTATTTTGATTCGGCAAGACTTTGAGAGCCATGTGCCTATGTATCAACCAATTGGAATGAAGAATCAGAACCACGTATTTCTTATAAAAAAGAGTAAAACTTTGTGTGTTGGTTGATTTTAAATGAAGAGACAAATTGTCATTTTTAGGAAAAGACTCGATTAATCAACCACAAAGTATGAGAAAAGTGGATAATGCATATATTGAGAGAGGTCTTGACACTTGGATAAGATAAACAAGTTCCTCAAGCGCTAAATTAGAAAAGTAGACAATTTTCAATCACAACCATGGGGATAGGAGAATGAGATCTCGACTATAAATGACTCATGTCTAATCTTGAAAGAGTCTTAAAGGTAAAAGGTGCAGGAGGGCAAAAAAATTTCGAATGAGGTTGGGTGTTTTTTTAGTCTTTTTGGAAGAGTTTTAATGTGCTTATGTGGTTTAGAATTTATTAAGAAAAGAATTTTTGAAAAAGTCACTTGACATGGTCAAGGTTTATTATGAAAGTGGTTAAAGTTTATAAAACAAGAAGGTTTTGAAAAAGATGAGAAGACTTAAAACATTGAAGAATGGAAGGATATGAAGAAACTATCCTAAATCATAAAATAAAAGCTAAGATAAGGAAGGTCAGACCAAACAAGAAGCCAACACTTGACATAATAAAGTCAACATTGAATTCCCATCCTTTGGATTAAAGCCACAAGCAAAGAATAAGCCAAGAGTATACCAAAAATCAAGGGAAAATTAATCACAAGCAGAAAGAATTATACAATCCCAAGGTATTAGAAAAGGCTAAGGTATCAAATAAGAACTCAAAGCATCATATCATCATCAAAATATCGGATAAGAATCCCTGCATCAGATGAAAAACCGCACAAACAGGCAAAAACCATGATAACAGATAAATAATCTAAATGTCTCATATGAAATAAGAACTCAAGTCCAAATGGTCAATTGTCATGCATCAAAGCTAGATGAACAAATGAAATACAGAGTAAATTTTTAATTAATTAATCAAGAATTGATTAACTTAATTATTTAGGTTAAGAAATATTAATTAGCAAAACTAATTAATTTTAAATAACAAAATCAACTAACTAAATCAAAATTTGATTAATTAATTAAAAGCAACAAAGTGTGCAAAGAGGAAGTGAGCATTCGAGCCATCTTGAAAGCTTACACAAACTATGAACATGTTAGTAATATAAAAGAAAGTATAATAAATCAATGGAAACTTGCCTCAAACTTTCATGTATTAGTAACCGATTTCTCAACCATAATTATTATACATGTATGAATGAAATTGCAAAGAAAGAATCATGGGTCGGATATGAATTCAATTGTGGATTAACAAAGTGAATGGTAAAAGATAAGTTGCAACCAAATATCACGCGAGAGCTTTTAAGTCTCAAAATAACTTCAACCACATCACAATTCCAATGAGTGTACAACACCACATAAACCATGAAAACAATGAAAATCCAATCACTAAAACTAAATCATCATCAATATCAAGTACCCAAAACAAAGTGATTCTCATGGATATAGAAAGAGATTAAAGTTTATGAATCAAAGATGCTATACCGGTTCTCACAACTTTAAACACTCATTCTAGACATCAAAACTAAAATTAATTAGGAATAAGATCACGTACCACTTGAATCACATTCAAAACATAATCACAAAGCTTGAACAAATATTTTTTCACATTATGAGCAACCGGGAAGTAAGAACAAAACATATTGATACTCAAACAATTCCATCTCAATTACGTTCAACACAAACGGGAATAAATTCGATGTCACAACCAAAATTCCTCATTCAGATTTAACACAGAGTTAACACGGATACCATTGAAATTCCATTCAAATTTAACACAAATGATATGGTATCGACATCAGAATAATCAACATTCAGGTTTAGCACAAATGCTATCAAAGTTATCCTTCAAATTTAACCCGAATAACACAAATAATGTCACCAAAATTTACCATTCAGAGTTAACACATATATTATCAAAACTTCATTCAAGTTAAGTCAAATAACATGGTATCGACATCAAAACTTTGCTCAAAATGAACTCAAACAAAATGGTATTGACATCACAAATTTATCATTCAGTTTTAACATCAATAACACAATAATGACATCAAAATTCATTGCTCAGTTTTAACAAAGAAACCTCATATATGCAACACAAACAAACACAGTAACAACATCATAACTTAATCATTCAATTTAACACAAACAGTCCAGAAATTAAATTAAATGAAAATAGTGATAGAGAAATAAAAGCTTACCCACTTGAAAAAAATGGTGGCAGAAGTGGAAAAATTGTTAAGGTGGAAGTGGTGGCTCAGAGAATACGTGGGCTGAGTGAGAGTTAATGGACCGATAAGGAAGGCTGAGTCTATTGGGAGGCGGAAGTTTGGATGGGAGACTCTCTCTCGTTTTGCTTTTGTGTTGGTTCCTCTTTTCACTACAAGAAAATTAGTGTTTAACGACACAAAAATTGCGACAGTTATGTGATAACTGTCGTAATTGACATATAGAGACAGTGTTTACGACAGTTGACACCAACCGTCCCTAATATTTATTTTGCGACGGTATATTTAACCATCATAATATTATTATTACGACGGTAAAACAACCGTCGGCCCCCATTTAACACTTTTAACATTGATTTTTCACCAACAACTAGTCACGACGGTAAAATTAACCGTCCTAAAAGGCATATCACGACGGTAAAGCATCCGTCGCACCCTTAAACCTTTCACGACGGTAAAATTATCCGTCCTAAAATTCATTTCACGACGGTAAAACAAACGTCGCACCCTTAAACCTTTCATTTGAGTTTGAATATATTGAATTGATGTTAGGTTTTCTAATTTGTTGTTTTAGGGTTTTATTTTTTTTAATGATTTTTTAGGATAATATTTGGTTAGGATAAAATATGTATTGTCCCTTATCCATTCTATGATACTGAATTTTGTCCAAACTCAAGCCATAAATCTTCCAACAACAACCGATAACATCATCATCATCATCAATGACAACCTTTTCAACTGAATTCTTATCACACACTCTCAATTTCAGAAACCACCCAAACCGCACTTCTCGCCGTTCAAATCCCAACACTATCGTCACTTCCTCAACCCCGGGCAACACCAACAACCGAAGAACAAGAATCAGGGTCAATGAAACAAGGCTAAAACTTGATCAAGATTACGATGAAGCTCTCATTAGGTCATTCAAATCAGCTAAGTACAATCGAGCTCTCCGCTTTCTTAAGCGCATGGTTGACAGGGGTTATAAACCTGATGCCATTCTCTGCCATTCTCTTCATCATCTTCCTCTCCATCTTTGATATTTCACTTTGTGGGGATCGAGATAAACCTGCTCTAATAACTTACCCAGATGTGGCTCTCAATTGTATGATTTTGTACTTGTTGCTCATTTTGGTTTGATTTTGATGTGTATGAGGGAATTTCAACACCAGATTGTTAGTTTTAGATGTTTGGTGCTTTGTTTATGTGTTTGGAATCACTATGGATATGGTTTTTGAAATCATGGAGTGTTTTTTTGCAGATGTGTCTTGTTTTCAGGGTCTGTTGTTTTGTCCAGAAGCAGCTTCTTTGATGCTTCGTAACTTCTGTATTTATCACATTGATGCTCCAGGGCATGAGGTTAGTATACGGATTCTTTCTAGTGTTATTGTACATGCTAGCTTCAATTTCATTGAATTCACATCAATTTTTTCTCATTTGTTTAAGAGATATTGCAGTTGGGAGCTGATGTGATTTCTTCGGATGAACCGTTGCTTTGTGTGGATGACCTAGCTGATCAGGTTGCAGAAGTGCTTGATTTTTTCGGGTAAGCATAACATTCGCTATTCACTGATTCTATATTGAACTAAGGGAACTGAGTAAGTATTCACTAATGAAACTGGCCTTATGATAGACTTATTTGGATTATGATTTTAACTTTCATACGAAACAGTCATGAATCAGGCTAAGAGAGGTTATGTGCATGGGTGTAACAGCTGGTGCTTACATCCTCACACTATTTGCTGTAAGTTAGTAACTCTGAGCTGAGTTATAATTTTATGAGTTTCATGTTCAACAATCTAATATAGTAAACCATCGGGTTAATTTTTTCATCACTTGGCAGATGAAATACAAAGAACGAGTGCTTGGATTGATTCTTGTTTCACCGATTTGTAAAGGACCTTCATGGACTGAATGGATTTACAACAAGGTTTCCTCTCAGTCTCCATGCTTTTATCATAAGTTATCTTTTGAAATTGAAATTCCAACAACTATATCAAGGAAAGTAGTAATGTGCCAAACTATTTATCGTGTGTGTTTGAAAATCATTGTTTCCACAGTAACATTGTGAGTTGACTTCGAAGCTGCAACTGTTTAGTTGACCGCACTTTAAAAGCCATCTAACTGTGATTCTAAACGCCTTTAGCATACAACAAAAAAATATAAAACTTGTAAAATGATTCCTTGAAATAGAATGTTTACAGGTTTTCTACATATATGTAGGTCTTGATGAACTTATTGTACTTCTATGGTATGTGCGGTTTACTGAAGGAATGCCTCCTGCAACGTTACTTCAGTAAGGTATTCTTCTCATTCTTTATCAGGTACTATGCAGGTAGAATCATTTCTGGAGGTGACATTACTTCTCTACATCTTTTATAGGAGCTTAGATGCAGTATTGAGGGATCAGAATCAGAAGTAATACTAACTTGCCGAAGAGTACGTAAAACTCTATTTTTTCCTCAGAAAATGCCTAATTAACTTGGCAATTAGGATAATTTTGTATGCGTACAATTCTGATTTGAAGATTCTCTTTTCTGTTTTGTATGCGTAAAATTTATAATGCTGGTATGTTTTCTACAACAACATTTGTTGAACACTACAACACTATGGTATAGTTTTTTGACTAAATAATTGTGGTATGCCAGAATATATTTGTTGCAGGAACAGACACAAGCACGTACACACTAGAATGGGCAATGGCAGAGTTAATGCACAATCCAGAAATCATGTCAAAAGTACAAAATGAACTCGAACAAGTTGTTGGCAAAGGTATTCCAGTCGAAGAAACAGACATAGCCAAATTACCATACATGCAAGCAGTTATAAAAGAGACGTTTCGTGTACATCCACCAGTTCCGTTATTACTACCTCGCAAAGCAGAAACAGATGTTGAAATTGGTGACTACATTATTCCAAAAGATGCACAAGTTTTGGTTAATGCTTGGGCTATTGGCAGAGATCCAAGTAAATGGGAGAATCCTAATGCTTTTGTGCCAGAGAGATTTTTCAATAGTGAGATTGATTTTAAAGGACATCATTTTGAGCTTATTCCATTTGGGTCTGGTAGAAGAATTTGTCCTGGTTTGCCTTTGGCTATTAGAATGTTGCCTTTGATGTTGGGATCTTTGGTTAATTGCTTTGATTGGAGACTTGAAGATGGATTGAATGTCGATGATTTGAATAAGGAAGATGAGTATGGGATTACCTTGGAAAAATCTCAACCTGTGAGAATTGTTCCAATCAAATTGACTAAGCAATAATTTAGAATATATGCACGGTTCTTTCATGATGCAGCGGTTTGTAAACTCTTGATGTTGTCTGACCAAACAATACTGTTCTCTGTCAATGGAACTAGGATTTGTGGTCGTGCCAACATTTTACTTACTATAAGAACTAGTTATAAATAATGTGTAATTTGTTTTTGTTTTAATTTGGTGAATGGATATGGTCTTCTTCATAGAGTAAATTTAGGTTCTATTATGTTATTTGAATAAGTCACACTGTTATGGTCCTAGGAGGATCATGGGTTCAGTTTAGGTTATCCTAGTTTATAGGATTTGTTTGTTTCGATTTTCTAGGCACCTTCTATCCGTTTTATTAGGCACTATCTAGTGCATTCAGTTTCTTTTGCAGTTTCCTTTGTAAGGCTATTTATAAGCCATGATTCCTATTAATATATAAGCGAGAGAGAATAATGATTACTTTGGCAGGGTGATGGATAATAATTTAAATAAAAAATATATATAATAGAAAAATAAAAAAAAATCAAGACATAAACAAAAGTTATGGCGACAGTAGCGAACCGTCGTAATTAACAATTAAAAAAATCAACAAAAGTCATGACGGTATCGAACCGTCGCCATAAACAATTTAATCAATTTCAAAAGATATTCACGACAGTATCGAACCGTCGCCATCAATAATTAAAAGAAACTCAAAAGATAGTCACGACGGTATCAACCCGTCGTAAACTTGAACGACAGTTTTTGTAACCGTCGCGAAATAGGTTGGGGACACACACTTCTGCGACGGTAAAGCAACCGTCGTGGAAAGCAAATTGCGACGGTTTTAACCGTCGTAATCTACAAAAATACCTGTCGCAATCTGCCAATTTTCTTGTAGTGTTTCTTTCTAATCTAATACGTCCTCCTTTCTAATACTCTTATCTTATCTCTTATATAACAACACTAAAGGGTTTGCTATTTTTTTTTTGGCAAAAATGCCCCTTTTGATAAAATCAACCTAAAAAACAAAAAGAGTAAAAATAAACTCATCCTAAAATATTTTTGTTTATATTTTTTCCTAGTAAAAAAGGAGATTTTAAATAATCAATAACAATAAAAAAGGATATCTAATTAATCGAAAAAAGGAAATAAACACATTAAAATAAATTACAGGTCACAAAAGTTTAATTTAAAAAATTGCAAATGATAAATATCGAAAATAAAACTAAAATAAAAATACTCGACTGAACAGACACTGACAATTAAGAAAGAGACTGCAAACTACGCCAAAAAAAATAAAGTGAGCACACCAATATGATCCACATGCAACATAGATTCATAAAACAATCAGCTAAAAATGAGAGTTTGAAATATTTTACTTGTTAATTTTCTGCACAGTGTCGAATCGCTTTTAACAGTCTGCTTGTAGAACTGAAATATCAATATTATTGAAATATGATCAACTTGGCGCAATGGATGGAGCGGTGTAAAGAGATAAAAATGCATGAAATGAGATATCAGGTATTTTTAACTCTAAAACAATGTAAATGTTGAATTAAGTTGACTTTTGGTCAAGCTAAATGCATGAACGACCGACTAATGATGCAAATGTGATGAATTGAGTGACCCTAGGGTTAAATTTGGGTATGACAACTTCCCTTATTTAATTATCTTTAACTAGATAACATTGTAGTGAAAGGTAATTAAATACAGTAAGACCCTAAATTTTGTCCCTTGGGTAGAAATGGAATGCATGGATTTTTTTGGACATATTTATCTTTTTTTTTATATGATATGGTATGAAAGATCGACTACGTAGAATAAGGAAAAAGACTAAAAAAAAGAAAATTTACAGTCGATTGAATAAGACTATGTGGAAAGACACACTTCGGAACACAAGTTATTTCTGGATATTCGTCAAGACGATAAAGAATATCCATCAATACTTGGAAAGACGGAGGCAACACCCTAAAAGGCAAGTAGAGACATCCAAAAATGGTATTTGATGGAAATTACAACCAAGATAAAGGTACGCCTAAAAGATGTCCAAGAAAGGCATTGAACTCCACTGGGGATACATCAATCAAAATCCAAGAATGGAATTGGATGGTGTTGTACCCCAAAATTTTCCCTCCCATTTCTTCAAAACATTTCTTACAAAAAGTTCTCAAATGCTCAAGGATGCTCAAGAGTTAATCAGACAAGCTCACCTCCTAAGCACTGGGTCCACAACTAGGGATTTGGTTTTCTCAAGGAAAATTGAATTTTAATGCCTCAAGTTACTTTCATAGTTCATAATAGGACTCCAATAATTCTCATATCAAGCTCCAAGTCTTGCATCACAAATTTTCTCAGTCAATTACTCAAGATGACTGAAAATCAACTATATCGGGTAAAAAGTCAATTGTGGTCAACATACAGTCAATATTCAAGATTTCTTTCCAACATCAACATTTTGATGTGATATTTATCATTTTATAAAGGGTTGATCTTAATTCATCAAGGAAAGCACTCAAATCATCAAAGGGGGGAAATGGTCAAAATTAGGGTTTTTATTGAGAATGATTGACCATTGAATTTGGACCTAGTACATGACCTGATGCCTTGAAGCATGATCTTAAGGACTAAAACACAACATATTGACCTAATTACATGGTTTAAGAGATTTCCAAAGGTACAAGAGATTGATAGTTGAAGAGTTGAGATCAACTGATGAAATGTCAATTGTCACACAAAAGTCAAACTTTGACTTTTTGGTTAACTTGAACTTCAAAGATCAAGAGTCATCAAAGAATTCAAAATTGTCAAGCATGATCAACAAGAAACAACAAAGTCAACAAAAAGTCAAAATTTCCAATACTTAGAAAAATTCTAAGTGTTTTGTCCTTGATAAATTCACTACTTCATGACCATTTTTCACTAAGATGCAAGATGATTCAAGGAAAAATTTCAACATGAAAGTTGTATAGCATGATGAATTCTACAACTTTGTCCTTGAGGGTTTATGTCCAAAAAATGCTTGGATTAGGAGATATAGGCCCATGAAGTCATGACATTTTTATCTAAACACTTAGTAAAATTTTCAACAAGTTTGGTCAGATTTGTGTCCCAACTTCTTAGCCAATTTTCACCAAGTTCCAATTTGATTTAGCCAAATTCGTTAACATTAAAGTTGTAGAAAATGTTTCAAGCTTCCCAAAATGTCCAAGAACACATTTTTATCATGCTTGAGCTAAGACAAAATCAAATCCTCATGCCATGCTGCATAATCTTGCTTTGCATGCCTATTAACCTCTAAATCTATCCATAATAAGATGATTGCACAAACGTTTGAGCCATTACTCACTAGATTTAAGCTTTTTCCAAATGATTTTTTCATTTTTGGCACAAAGTTAACGTTGTCATTCTTGTAAAGTTTCTTTAATCATAAATTCAACTCTTCTTGAGCCTATAACTTGTTTCTTTTGCATACACTTAACCTACAAGATCAGATGAAACATGTTTAATATGTTCAACCACTCTAGAGGGCATGGTAAAAGCATTGGAACCATGTTCTTTAATGTTGCTTCAAAATTAAATAACCTTGACATAACCTTGTAAGTGGTAAACCAAGCCCTCTCATCCTCTAAAACTTTTCTCTATAAATAGAGATGTCATTTTCATGATAACACACGAGTTGATAAACCCTCAAACTCTCTCAAACTCTCCCAAGTCAGAATTGTACACAAAACCTCCATTGTTTGCAAATTCTGACCTTGAACATCAAACACCAAATCCACTCGTGCGTTTTCATTTTAAATCATCCACAAAGCTTCTATAACTCATATAGAAGCTATTCAAACACCTATTATACCATTGTAGCATCATCTTCCTCACCCTCCATTTTCAAAAACTCAACTCTGCAACTTGACTTTTCCAGAAGAATCCAACCACTCTCAATCCAAAGTAAGCATTGCAATAGATTCCTGGGGGTTCAATGAAGCTATCCAGATCATCACAACATCTCTAGGAGTGCTCCAACTTTAAACATGATTCTCACTTTTGAGGTAAGTTTTCTAAACTTTGAACTTTCTGTGCAAGCATCATTAATGTTTACTTTCTGAATAAAACAATGTAGATATCATTGCCCTGAAGCTAACCATGTGCTTACATTTCATTTATCTTGCATGAGTGATGAGAATTTTGGATTTGAAATTTCTGAAATATTAGGGTTCAGTTTGGTACCAACAAAAATTCACTTTAATCTTTGACTGTTAGCTTATGTTAATAGCATGGTTGGATTCGTGGTGAAAAAACAAACAAGTTTCATGTTTACACTTTTGAAAATGATTGAGAAATGGAAAAGTTTGAAAATTCAAAAATGTTGTTGAAGTTACTGGTGCGAGGAAGAAGATGAAATCTATTTAGAAAAAACTTTGTAATATATTTATTGGTGGTTGTTTCTTAACTGGATGAAATAGCCACCCCAGTGGTAAAGGAAGCACGCATATGATCATAGGGACCTGGGTTCGTGCCCCAGTGGTACCCTTTTATTTGTTTCATATTTTCTTGTTTCAGATTCAAGACAAGTAAGCCTACACAAGCGCATGGTGAACCTCATTTTCTCACCACCTGATCATCACAAGACCCTATCTAATACACCACATATGCACTCCTATGATACACCTCAGAAGACCATCCTCACCGAATCAAACTGGCGCTGGGCTTGAGGTGTTTGGGCCTAACATTTTTTCCATTTTTTCACACCCATGATTACTTTTCAATGCATGCCCCACTTTTATTTTTTTATATTTCAAAAAAAAAACTGTCTTTTGTCCCTAACATTCTTTACACCCCCAATTTCCTTTCAAAATGCAAGCCCAATCTTTTTCTTATATTTTCTTTTCTTTACTTTTGTTTATTTATGTCATTTAATTAAAATACAAAAATATAATTTTTGTTTATAAAATTTAGATTTAGGTTTTTTTTCAAATAATTAGTTAATTTAATTTTTTGGCATAGTTGATTTATTTTAATCACTTCAAAATCTTTTCAAA